GTGTGGTGTGGGTGGGGGGGGGGTGGGGGGCGCGGCATTCTACCAGCATATGCTTCAGAGTTTTTTAAAACTGATTGTAATATTTCTGTTTGTATATCAAGTTTAATGTAACATGTGACATTTATTCACTTTAAACAGGTGAACATCTTAGAGCCCATGAGCGGTATCTGTTACCCTATTTGTGAGCACTGGGGGGATAGTTTTAAGGATCAGCCAGATAATAGTAAATGTATTTCTACCACAGACACCTCCTGCTCCTATGACCTTCCCCATCCCATCCTACTTTTTTTGTATTCCACATATTTTTTCAATAGTAAAATTGCAAACATTGAAGATTGAACGACTGAAATAAGTGACGGTAGGTCAAATCTGGATCCCTGTACAGTCTTCTTTAGATTTACCAAAACTATGTAATATTATAACAAACCTGAACAATCCATTCAATTTTTTTTTAAATCAGGTACTACATAATTCTTGATAGGTCTAAAGGAGATTGTTTAACCTGATTTGTATAGCGTGTGGTCAGCTTTGGATACGAGTAGACAGATGCATGATTGTTCTGCTAACATCTAGATAACGCCTTCCATCTATAGGAGTTTATGATTTTCATTTTTCATCTTCTGAGGCAGCAGCTTTTTTTCCTGCAGTAAAATATCAAATGATTTGTGTGTAATCATCTGCTGTTAATGTTTGTCCTATAGTAAATTTTCTATTTTGTATATTACCTTGTTCTTGACGTGGACAAAGATGACGCAGCCCTGTCTCCTCTTACGCCATCTTTCCAACTGGCAAATTTTTCTCCACAGGTCTCTCGATGGCACTATGTGGTGCTATTTGAACCTTTCACAGCTCCTCCTCTGTTGTCTCCCATTATTCTGTACTGCTCCCTCATCTCTCCTTGTGCTGATCCTACGCATTTCAGGACTATTTGCTATGTACAGCTGTGCACAGGCGTGTGGGCAGATTAAGCCCCCATTCACACCTGAGCAATTTAAAGCGCATTTCTAGAAGCTCTTCAACACTCGACACTGAGATTTTCATGTTATTCTGTTGTCTGTTCACATCTGAGTGATGTGCCGTTGCTCAACGTTCTGAGAAACTACAGGAGCTTCTTTGAGGAATGATCACGTGTTTGTGGCCTGAAAAGACTTCAGTGGGAGTGTCTGGAAAATGCTTGTAATGTGCGTTGTTTGCTTGATTTTTGCACCTAACAACCATCTTCTCCTAGTAACTAGCTTTGTTTTGGCTAAAGCAAAACACTCAAGCCTGAAAAAAAAAATGCTCCAAAAAGCGTGAAAAACAAGCAAAGATGCTGACTCTCACGTATAAATGGGGGCTTATGTGTACATACACAAGAATTGACAGAAGGATAATGTATGAGGAAGACATGAGGGACCCTAAACAGTGCTGTCCATAAGTTGTTCTTACTTGGCCACACATTGAAGTGACCATTTTGCTGGCCATACAGGTAATGATACAATTGTTCAATGTAATAATCTTTTCAATGAAAAGACTATATCTTTTTTTATTAATCAATCTAAAGCATGACTGGACAAATCCCAGGAGCCAGGTAGCCAATGCTTCTTAAAAATTACCGGTGCTTAACTTTTGCTGTTTTCTCTAGTTGTGGTTAATGGAGCTGGCTCCTAAATTGGACTGAATTCTATATAAATTTGTCCACCCCTACTCTAGTGGATGGTTTGAGCTGCAAACAGTGTTTTTCATTGGAAATGAACAGTTGTTCCTGGTGGAAAGTCCCATTAAACAGGACCAAACTGATTCTACAAAAGCTTATTGGACAGGAATCTTTGTTAATCATTTATCAGTACGTTTCAGTTCAGCATTAGGGTTAGGAGAGAGGCCAAAATCAGTGGAATCCTTTGGGAGGAGGAGCTGTGACCAAGAACATGGTTGCTGGATGAGTTGCTGAGTGTGTGTAGGTGTTGTGAATAGATGGCCTTGAGTGTGCATATGTGTTGGGGAGTGGTTTATTATTGCATGGGGCACACATGTGGACATCAAGATCACAGTAAAATAGGTATATATTATGTATGAAGATTTGCATAGGGGGGGCTAAATGTGAAGTGGCTTAATTATTTGGCCTAATACAGTACTAAGAGCTAAGACTTCTAGAATTCCAGTAACTTACTAACTTTTCACCATTTCTAATAAATTACGAAAATGTGAGGGGGTTATTCCAGGCACACAAGTACAGATGCTGTGCAGTCTTAGTATTGAACTGATATAATGATTCAGAAATGAACATCACATTACTATACTTTGCCAAGCAAGCTGCCTTGTCTTCACTTACACAATTACATGACACCACATAGGCTCATTTTCTGAAGTACCGTACTGCTTTGCACATTGTGATCATGAATGGCTACAGGTTTTTTCACAACTCTTTGAAAACTGAAGATCAATTAGAAGAACAGAAGCTGAAGACTGACTGCTGTGAGGTTCCTTCAACCGAGGAGGATTGCGGAGATCTAATTTATAGGGACATCAAGTCTGGTTTCAATAGCCTGGGATTAGATTCTCTGTCATAGTTTAACAATCTTGTTAAATTTTTATGTTTCCATTGTGTTTCTCTGCTTGTTTTCTGTTTGGTTTTAGATCTTTTCTGAATGAAATGTGTACTATCATTATTGTACTCATAATTTCCAATAAAAACTTTAAAATAATGTTGATGTGGAATAGACTTTTCACAGCCGAGATGACCATTGCTGATCGGATCCTACATTTTGTGAATTCCTTTGTAAAATGTAGGAGCTCGCCTTTGACAGCCTGTTTGCTACACAGGTATAGTCGAGGGTCAGGAAAAGTGAAGAAAAAAAAAGAACACGTCCTTGATCACTAATAATAAATCATTGCATAGGGAGCTGCTTTATATTTCATTGTATTCAGTGGTGCATTCTTACACAAGTGTTTGGATTGTGATGCATTTCTCTTTCTGGGATTTTTCAGCATGTCACTTATGGTTTGCTATGTCTATAGCATATGCACCAATTAACACTATTCACTTGAGACCTGCCTTCGTTTGTACCTTTTTTACAGTGTGTTTAAGGAGGCTGTAAAGGCTGCTGGTATGGAGTTTCATTCAGATGAGTTATGGAACACATACATAGAATTTGAGATGCAGCAGAAGAACCTGAAAGAAGTTACTGTGCTGTTTGATCGAGTGCTTACTATCCCCACTCAGCAGTCTCAACCACATTATGAGAGGTGAGCAAGATGATTATTATACTTCATTTCTTTCTTCTCCTATTTTCTTTTACTTTCTGTTTATGTAATTATTTCATTCAGCAATATCCAGTTCTCACAGGCATGGCCCTCTAAACCATCTTGTCTTGAATTGTATTGCAACTGTAATGTCCTACTTATATTGTAAAGCGCTGAGCAAACTGTTGCCGCTATATAAATCCTGTATTATAATAATTCGTATGTATACTTTGTATTCTGATGTATTAGGTAAACTAGAAGACATTTTTCTTTTCTTTTGTACCATCCAGATTTAAGGCTTTTGTATCCATGTATTCCCCAAATGAAATCTTGAACACAGAGGAATGGAATTGGATACGCTCAAGAGTAGAGCTTGAAAGTGACAATGAACAGATTGCTGCTGAAGACTCCGATGATTGTGTTGAGACTTTGACCGTGTGTATTTTCTCCCAAATTTTCAGAATGATTTTGATTCTTGATATTTACTTACCATGTTATTTGTGTATTTTGACAAGTTTATGTAGTGTAATATAGTTAGGGAACATGGTAGATCCCAAAGTGCGGGGGGTGCTGGTGCGACCGCAGATGCCTCTGCATGTCAGAAACTGTAACTGGTAGAAAGTCACTCGCACTCCAGAAACTCTTGTAGTCAATCTTCTTTACTGGCCATTAAAGTGTCACATAACTTTAGCAACGTTTTGAGACTGTCTGGTCTCTTCTTCAGGCAAAACAAAAGTGTTAAACAAAAGTCACATTTTTGTTTTGTCTAAAGAAGAGACCAGACGGTCTTGAAACGCTGCTAAAGTTTTATGTGACACTTTAATGGTCAATAAAGAAGATTGACTACAAAAGTTTCTGGAGTGTAAGTGACTTTCTACCAGTTTTAGTTAGGGAACAAACTCGGCCACATACCAGGAAGGATGATTAAAGTGATACTAAACTCGAGTTAAACCTTAAGCAGATCTTTACACTGAAAAATTTAATTAATGCTGTGATTTTGAAATACTTACACTTGCAGAGCCTTCACTTCCTGCTTTTGGAAGTGCAAATTACTTCAGTTTGCACACTGGGACTTCCTTGTCATTAGCAGAGCATTGCTGGGAAATCTCATCTGTAATGTCATGAGATCTCAGGAAAAGACATTTTCCTCCCCTGAGATGATGTGCATGGTCACATGTGCCAGTAATCCAGGAAGGAGAGCTAGTAATCGGCCTTTAGTAAACATGGTCACTGTCAGAAGACTGGGGAAGAGAAGAGAAATGAGGTATGCAACGAATACAAAGCCTGCAATTATCTACAGGTATCTGTTTGTAGATTTGTCATTGCTAGACATTTCTAAAGGAGGTGTTTGTTGTTATTTTAAAGATATGGGTAAAGGTTGACTTTAAAAATGCATCCAAGTACCTTTTTAAATATGAACAAAAATGTATCTTTTTTTTGTGTATCACTCAGCTGTAGATCATCAAATCATCTCTGAATTGATGCTGATCCTCCTTTCTTCTGGAGGGTGGCTGCTTTTGTTCCTGTGTGTTGTAAAGTAGCCACCTCTCCAAGCTCGATCCCGTGATAGCTAGTTTTTATTGAAGCTATAGATCTAACTAAACGTGAGATTTTAGTCTATCACGGGAGCGAGCTTGGAGTGGTGTCTACTTTACAACACACAGGGCCATGGGGAACAAAAGCAGCCACCCTCCAGAAGGAAGGACGGTGTCGGCATTAATTCCGAGATGAACTGAGGATCCACAGCTGAGTGAAAGACAAAAAAATATAAATTTTTGTTAATAGTTAAGGTACTTGAATGCATTTTTAAGGTTTAACTCCTGAGTTTAGTGTCACTTTAACATTAACATGAACTGATGACCATGATTTGCTATAAATTGATAAAAGTTATGGTTTCTCATGATACAGCACACAGACTCAGGCAGAACAGGGGATCTGGCGAGACCCTGAAACGTTGCACCAGTGTGATATGCTGCACGTACGTCAATAAAAAGACGCATTTGATCAGCAGTTGGAGTGCCGGTGTCCCTATCTCTAGTTATGTACAAGACAGCTGCCATCCGTTGACTACGACTGCACCCACCTTATTCATATGGAATAAGTGGTCAGGCGTGCGATGGGTTTATGGACTTTCACTTAATTTATAAATCTTCCGGCCATCATATAGCTGGGCGGATGCCATTCTCATAGCACTTGCGCCACTTGATAGCTCTGAGGAGCACAGGAATTTCCAGTGCTCTTAAGCATCATCTAGGGGCACTAGTGGCGTGGAAATTGCATCCATCCAGCTATACGCAGGGTGGAACATTTATGAAACAGCCCCTTTGTATTCGGTGGCTTCCGTCATGTTTTCGGAATACGATTACATTATGGAACTGATTTATATATATTCTGCCCAGGGTATGTTTTTTTTTTTTTCTTTTTTTTTGTGTGTGTGTTTTATTTAGCTATAGCCCCCTAGATACCAAAACATAGGCTTTGGTGTATAGAATTCAACTTATATATATATTTTTTTAAAGAATTAATTTCTTTTATAATTATTTTGTAATTTATTCGCCTTGTATATGAGCCTCAAAATACAGTCAAGGCAGCTAATTGAAGTGATAAATGCAAAACAGTGTACCATTTTGTTAACATTATTATATACACTTTTTTATTTTTTATGTGGGTTTTTTTTATTTATTTATTTTTTCCGTTTTAGGAATCGGATATAGCAAAGTTTCGGGTACATATACTCAAAATTAGAGAACAGTTGCATCTCCTTAATGAAGCAGAAGTTAAAAAGCGTTGGACCTTTGAAGAGGGGGTAAGTGCTCTTGTTCTTTCTCTTTTCTTCACACCTCTTTCCCCCACCTTGTCCATTTTGTCTTTTCTCTGTTGTCCTTTTAATAACTATGTTCAATTTTTCTTTAATCCAGATCAAACGGCTTTATTTCTACGCTGCACCAATAAATATTAAGCAACTGCAAAACTGGAGGAAATATCTGCAGTTTGAGATATCTGAGGGTCAGCACGTACGCATAGTATTACTGTATGAGCGCTGCCTGATGACCTGTGCGCTCTATGAGGATTTCTGGCTGTCGGTAAATCTTATTGCATTTGTATCTTGTGGAGGAGCTGTTAGACTGATCATAGACTTTACAAAGTGGTTGGACATGCAGGCATGATATGAGGCTCCTTAGGGTAAAAGAATCTTCAAAGCTCTGCATTGGCAAAATTGCCAGATCAGGCAACTACATCCCATGGCTGTGAGTAGCGTAAAGAGTAACTATCCCAGTCATAAAAAATAAAAAAGGCACAATTAAAAATGTTTATACTTCTTAATTGATCCTCTTCTGTCTGGAGCAGCTATCCTCATTAAGGGCAAGGGTTTTCCATTTGCTTCCTTGTTCCTGAGCGCATGCACACCCAGTGCCCCAGCCAGGGAATCATATTTACACTTTGTGTTTCCCGGCTAGAGCGCTGGGTGTACGTATGCCACCAATTCTGCGCATGCATTCCCAGAGCTATAGCAGGGAAATCACAATATTTAAACGTTGCTTATACCATGGTAACATGTAAACAATATGATTACCAGCTAGAATGCTGAGTGCGCATGTGCAGGATTGGCTTTCGCTGAGGGAATTGCAAACTTACCATTACAGATTTCTCCTGAAAAAGTTTGTTGCCTGGCTGTGATGTGTAACAGGCTACATTCATACAGGGCTACTGGGAAATCCTGCGGTAAGAAGTTATGGATTCCATGAATGATTACATGCAAACTGCTGCTGACAGATGCGGACACTGTCACCCTGTCATTAACTTAAAACGGGCACAGAGGCTGCATGTACGGATACACCTGGGATTCCTGCTGCAGGAGTCCGTAGGTTCTTGCCATAGGAATCCCCAGCTGGAGCCTAAGACCCCGTGTGAATGTGGCCTTACAGTTCTTTCTGAGTGACTGACCTGGAACAAGTATGGAGAGCAAGTGTTCTTCACTTCCCTTTTATATGCCATCATGTAGCAATTTGAGTTGGGGGGGGGCTTATACTCATAAGTGGGTCTTGCATTTTAGTGCAAGGTCCCCTCTAAATATCTGTGACTTTAAGAACTGTATTAATGAGGAGTATTTCTATGCAGTATGCACGGTATATGGAGGACCATTCTGTGGAGGCTGCCCGTTCTGTATTTGAGAGAGCCTGTCGTATCCACTTACCACTGAAATATAATCTACATCTTCATTGGGCAGCATTTGAGGAGAAGCATGGTAAGTTAAAAATGTATTAAGTCATCTTTTTCTGTTCTATGTATTTTTTGCTATATATATAATTATTTGTTCTGATGGCCATCTTCTTCCAGGATGCTTGGACTCTGCCCGTGCCATTTTGTGTCGCCTGGAAAATGTAATACCCGGCTTAGCCATTGTTCGTTTGAGGCGTGTTGGTCTAGAGAGACGAAATGGAAATCTACAGGAGGCTGAAAGGTTGTTAAAGGAGGCTGTGGAGATCAGTGCAGGCACAAAGTCGGCAGGGTTTTATGCTGTGAAGCTTTCACGGCTATTTCTAAAGTTCCACAGAGACACACACAAGGCAAAAACTGTACTAGAGGAAGCCCTTAAGAAGGATCCGGTAAGAATGCATAAACAGAAGTTTGGTTTGTACTCTTTTATGATGCGTAAAGTATATTTCCACTTTTGCATCCAAATTGGGATAAGACCTACTTTATATTTGTTACATGTTCTCATTCGCATTGCATAACTTAAAAAAATATAAACAAAATGTAACAATCAAAATAGTTTAACATTTCTGTTTACGTTTTAAGTGCTTTTTTACTTGCTTAAAAATCCTACCTAGCTCATTCCCCCCTGGGTAATGTTAAGAAAGGGGCTGGGGCAATTTGTGTTTACTCTTAACTAATCCTGTCTGCGCTGTGCTGGTAGTTTTTATTCTCAGTTTTAAGCTAGATTTGAACATTGTCTGTCCTGACTAAAGGTTAAAGACTTTGATGCATTGTACCTTAATTAGATGCTCAGTCCTGTCCCTCAGTTTGTCCCTCTACTTTCATTTTCAAACTGCTCAGAATAGCCTGGAATCAGCACAAAGGCCTTCACCAAAGAAATAACTAAAAAGTAAGTAATATATTTAAAAAAATGATTTTTAGCAATGCTGTGTGAATGGGAACACATAAGCATATAATGGGGTTTTCTCGAATTTGACTGCAAAAGTGGATAGGCATTCATCTTCTGTTGTAATCTTGTTTAGCAATTTGTCATCATCCATCATGACTACAGATTTGTAAAGTGTGCTCATCATGGTCAATGGCTGAATTATGTATAGAAAGCTTAAAGGGAATTTGTCTACATGTACATAAGACATTTTCACCTTGATTCTTGCTTCATTACATACACAGTCTTTGACCTAGAACAAGCATGTGCATGTATGTGTGTTTTAGGTCAGTAACTCTTTAGCAGTAAAGGAAGGATAAGGATGGCATTCCTAGAGTATGCAGTATCAAAAACAACTGCTCTGGCAGCTCCCATTGTTATGTCTCTACAAGTTCCTCTTCAATGGGTAATTTCATTTTTATTCTTGTGTTCTAAAATGCAAAGGAATTATTTTTTTAAAGTCATACTCTATTTTATACTTGCAGTATATAGCAGATTTGATTTAATATTTTTCACTTGTATTTTATACCATGAAAGGAACAAGAGTATCATTGCTTTTGGTAGATTGTGATATATGACTTGTATTCATCTCTTAGGATAATGCTCTATTGCATATGTCTATGCTGGAGGTTGAAATGTCCAGAAATTATACTGAAGATGCTCCTCTGGTTTGTGTGGAACAAGCATTGAAATGTAATCTCTCCGATGGGTCAAAGAAGATCCTATCTCAAAGACGACTTGAATTTATAGAAGACTTTGGCAATAGCCTGACAAGGTACAATGTCTTTTCGGGTTTAGCCTAGCAACTTGTTATCTGTGTGCTGATACAGGAGCACATTCAGATGCCCGGCATCAGCATCTGGCTGTCCCTTAAACTCTGGATAATCTGATTTACAATAACTTTGTTTGGTATATGTTCATATCTAAAAGGAAACAAACTGGTGGTAAAAGTAACAGCATACCTTAGATATATGTTTTAGAAGACCTTATCTACTGGTACCTTTTAGACCATAGAACAATAATTTTGCCCTTAAAATGACAATTTTCATTGATCAGAATAGAAATGAGGTCTACATCAATTGTTACACCATTTATTAATCTGTAACATTTCAACATACAAATCTAAACACTTCTACAAGGCACAAAATAAATGGGTGTGTTTTAAAGAAGTAGCTGTCTTCTAAATGCTTTAGCAACGGGGATATTTTTTTTTCTTGGTTTTTGTATTTGCTAGTGAAGTCAATTGAGTTTGAAACCATGTATCGCAACATGTCTTTCACACATCTTACCTTTGTAGGAGAACCCCAGGTGTATGGATATATGTACAGGTAGTTGAGTTGAGTATAGCTATGTCCATTCACCTACTGCACTTGAACAGCATTAGACTTTGTTCACTTCAGTTTAAAACCACAGGCTTTTTTTTTAAAGGGGTTTGTGTGTGCCAATAAGATGTCCTAGAAGAAAAATATATTCTGCATTCTCTCCAATGTAGCCCCAGTCTGCTGTATTTGGGTGCACGTCATAGCTCACCATGTGTAACCGCATATATGTGAACTGTACAATTGCTGACACTGTAGGGATGTCCCGATACAATTTTTTTTAAGACCAAGCACTTTCCCTCCAGTACTTGCCAATACAAGTTCTTTTTTTTTTTTTAAAGGGACATGTGACTTTTTTTCTAAAACAATACAGACTAATGATTTTAGGGCAGTTTCTTTATAATTATGAAGAACTGTAACAATTCATGATTATTCAGCAATGGAGAATGGCAACCAGCAATCATGGATTGCTGAGATTTGTAGTCCTCTATAGCCCGTTGCCAGTCTCTATTGTATAATCATTGATTATACAGCAATAGAGACTGGCAACGTGCTATAGGGGACTACCGATCCCTTCAATTCATGATTATACAGCAATTATACAGGGCTGCATTGGGGTCTCACCAGGGCTGCGTTGGGGGTCACACCAGGGCTATACAGGCGGGTGCCAGACTCTCCAGGGCTCAGCGTGCGGCTGCTGGGCACTCCAGAGCTGAACTAGTGGGATCCGGGCTCCAGGGCTGTACTAGTGGGTGTGGGGTTGTCCAGTGCTGCACCGGCAAGGTGGAGGAGGCAATGTGTGGCAGGACTGGCACTATCAAAGAGCTGCCTGGGGTCCCCAGCAAATTCGGGAACCCAGGCAGCCAAACTAGCTTGAAAATTTAAACAGTGGGTATCGGTCTTTAGTATTGGGGCATTTTCACAAGTACTCATGAAAATTCCCCCATACCCATACTAGTATCGGTATTGGAACATCCCTACTACACTGTACTACAGTCCATGAAGGATTAAAGGTGCAGTAAATCTTTTTGGCCGTACCTTCCTCCATAGTTGTTGTAGCACTCTTATTTACCTTTTCTACTGGCTCTGTTTATTGCTTAGGATACCCAGGGGGGCTGGACACCCCTTCCTATGCCTACTTTGGACCCGTCCTATCTTTCTGTAAGTCTATGGTTACACAGACCTCTCTGCCTCAGAGGCAACCTGCAGTGCTCCCTCTCAAGGGCTTGACACTGACGGCCTGGAAAGCTGTCACCTACTTGTGTCCCTAGAGTCTGTGGAAGTCAGTAATCGCCCCCTCCTCATTTTTAACCTGGTAGAATTTAACACGCTTATGCATGATTTATGAAACACATTGCAACTCAGTTTTCTAACTCTGTCCACAGAGGCCTTAGGGGTACCTCAAGGCCTTCCCCTATAGCATTAATCTTTTATCTACCTGTGGTCTTAGCAGCCTTTGAGCCTTCAGCTGCGGAGACCCTATCTGACATGGGATTAACCTTTCTGACATAGTGATAGAATTGCCAGTTGATCCCTGAAGAGTTGCCAGTTGATCCCTGAAGAGTCGCAGGCGTCTGCCATAGCTCCCAGGCTTTGATAGACTATTGCAGCTCTTATTGCTTCAGTGTGTACCACTTTGTGATGGAAAAGCAGCCTGTAGCATCTACTAGTGCTGTTGTCTATCTAGGATCCTGCAGAGTCCTAAGATTTCAAATACCTTTCTAATGCACATGCTACTCCAGGCGTCCCCTATGGAAACTGGCAGACTCCTGTTTAAACCTTTTTATTATTCCTCAATACCTGTTTAAGGAGCCCATTATCAGAAGTAGGCTGTCCCCACTATTGATCCGGCAGGGTCTCACCTTTTAATAAAGCACTGACGATTCCTGCGGAGGATACACTATTGCTTAATGATCCCAAAGATAAACTCTTGGGGATTCTTTCCAAACACCTGGTTTTCTCTGGCAAGCCCTGCTTTGCAAACTGCCATGGCCACATTGCTAGGCTGGGAATGGATTACACTCTTTTAGAAAGATCCATCCTCTGTCCACATTGATCCTATATATTTTTATATCTATTTATGCAGCACTTGGAAATCTCATGCCGGCAGGCAAGTTAGTGGATGCTCTTTGAGGGACAATGTCTCTTCAGATTCTGACTGAAAAGTGGTAATACACTTTAAGCTTTCTGCTTTCAGACTCGCAAAATCAGACTTTGTCAAAATACAACGTTAACAGCAGGATTCCTCGGTCGACACTCTGTTTTTGTTGATGGAGGAATCGGGTCAATTTTTTCCGTTCATCCCACGGGTTGAACGAAAAAAATTGATAGGTGTATGGCCAGCCTTAGATGTGAAGACGCCTAGGGACATACCAAAGCCGGAGAGAGAGAGACGTCCCTGCCACCGGACCGAGAATTGGGTGAGTATATCTTCTTTCTTATTGCTCCTAGACCTAAACAAGCAGTTAAAGAGGAACTTTACCCATATCTTCAAAATAACAACATAGGTACCTTTTAGAAATGTTTAGTAATGACAATCTACAGATACTTCTAGATAATTGCCGTTTTTTTATTTTTTGCATACCTTTATTTTTCTTTTCTTTCCCAGTTTTCTGACACTGGCAATTTTAACTAAGGACAGGTTACTAGATATTCTTTTACTTCCTGGAACTCTGGCACACGTGAGTAGCGCATGTGACCATACTTATCATCTCAGAGGAGGCGCATGAGATCTCGTGAGAGTACAGATGAGATTTCCCAGCAATGCTCTGCTGATGTAACCTTCCAAAGATGCAACACTTGGGCAGGATTACATAATTTGTGCCAAAGTGGACCAATCAAGTGGGGGGAAAAAGAAATTGTAAGTAAAATAATATTTTTAGCTAATGAATGTAAGATTTCATTTTAGCATGCAGAGCTGTATGCTGATGTGATTTTTAGTCAAAGGGGGTAAAGATCCACTTTTGCAGTTTGGGGGTAGCCCCATTGCAAGGGTTAACTTTTCTAAAACCCAGAGATCTTCTTTAAGTCTCTAGACAAGCTAATGCCATGGTTCAGGTTACCTCTGGCCTGTAGCTGGGGAAATCCTTCATTCCTATTTTCTTGGAGGATTCTGACAATGATTGCCAAACTAACAGGCTTCATAGGAGTCCTAGACACCTTGTTGGTCTGGGGACCTGGTCATCAGAGGAATTCCGCCTTCTGATCAACCTTCCTTGTCTGCTCCACTGGAGAAGGGGGGCTTTCTGGTGGTATTCATAGCTTCAGATTGGCCCAGAAGGATGTGGTACTCCCAGTCGCCTGCCAGATGCTTTGTGGGCTGTTCCTGACCATCTAGATCTTCAGTCCCAAGGACCAATTTATCTTCCTGCTTCATGGTTTCTGGCTTTAACAGCATAGTGGTTGAAGCCCAGGTACTTTGCGAAACGCAAGTCTTTCTGAATCTGTGATTTCTACACTGTTAAATGCTATGAATTCTCCTTCCCGCAAGGTTTTCTATCACATATGGATGACATACTTTACTTGGTGCAAGAAAACCCACCCCAGGATATACTCCATGGAAAGAATCCTGTCTTCTTGCAATCTGGACTCACTCAGCATTTGGCCCTGAGCACCACTGCTAACTCTTGACACTTGTGATCCTAATCCAAAGATCGTTAACCTCCTACTCCTTGCTTATGACGGAGTGTAATTCTTGTAGCTCCCTCTGTACTACCTTCTGTGACTCCGTTGGAATTGGTTCTCTTGGCACTTCAATCGCCACCCTCTGAACCTATCGGGGGATATTCCACATTCCAACTTTCATGTTGCCTTCCTTGTTGACATCACCTCTGTGAATTTTTTTATTTTTTTTTGCCCAGTGAAGAACCCTATATGGTCGTACATGGGGATAAGTGGTGTTGAGGCCCAGAGCCTTCTTCCTTTCTAACGTGGGTTCAGCCTTCCACCTACCTTCCAGCCTTTCAGCTACAGTTCCTTCAGAAGGACATTTTTTCCTCACTGTCTAGATGTAGTTTGTGCTGTATAGGTTTACCTTGCAGTCACTGCTTCTGTTAGAAAAATCGGACTCCTCTCCGAGCTTCCTACAAGAGGCCTCTGAGCCATATGGCCGTTTATCCGGTTAGATCTGGCACTTGCATGTAACTTAGTCAAGGGATCTTTCATATGGGGAGGTTCTGTAGCCTGTTCATAGCTTGCAAATTTTACAGATGGCATTGTACTGTTCTTGCCTTAGGGGAGGGTAGCTTTTCCCACTCCATGGAAAACACTGCTTGGGATGTCCCAATGGTCAGAGATTCAAGATGTCTATGTCCTTCAATGAATGGGAGGGAAATTTAGGATTTTTTTGTACTGACCATAAAATTCTTTTCTTTGCATTTATTAAAGGATAAAGCAGCCTCTCCACTGGTTGTTATGTCTGTGATTAGTTGTTGCATTATTTACTGCTGTGTGACTGTGTGAGCTGCCACTAGCAGATCAGGGGAATGGGGACACTCTAAGGCTGTGTTTTTTTTTTTGCCTAGCGTCTTACTCCTGAAGGAGGCACTATAACCCAATGGTAATAAGGGTCAGGATTCCCGCTATAGCCTTCAATTAACATAGAGAAAAGTATTTACAATAAATATTTAGTTTTTTGTTTTGTTTTTTGTGGTGGGTAAAGGAGAATTATGGGGTCAGGGTTTTTCCCCATAGTTCTCCCAAGGGTCACTTGAGAACACAAAGTAGCGTTCTCCCGTCACCCAAAGCTCAGTATACCGCGAGCTGTACTGAGACGCCGGAACGGATCCCGACAATACTGTCTGGATCCACCCAGCTGCGTGAGCGAAAGCTGGCTCTGCCTATGTAGAGGCAGAGCCAGCTGAACCGCCCCCTCCCCCGTCCGTTCCGCCAGCCAGCGCTGGAGGATCGGACAGGGGAGGGGGGGAATCCCTGCAGGGAGCCGTGAGTGACAGTCACGGCTCTCTGCAGGGATAGATCAAAAAGTGAGCAAGCGACGGTATGTGTTCGCTCACTTCCCGATCTACTGAGCCGACCTGTGACAGTTTCATTGTCACAGGTAGGCTCAGATTATGAGGCTGAGTGAAAATCACTCGCCTCATAGTTCTCCTTTAACCCCTGCCACCACCAGCCCTTTGAAGGGATCTTAATGCCGGGAGTAAAAGGGGCAATTTCCAATCATGTGACTACAGTTAATATATATTATGCTTAATACAATTGATTACCCTGATTGGCTGTCACAGCAGAGATTGGGAGGCTGTCCCACCGCTTCTCAGTTGCGATTGGTGACCAGGACCTGTTGGTGACGACTCTGGAAGTCACTGTGCTGGAAGTGTGTCAGCGAGTACATTCTCGGCACATAGCAGAGGAGCCATCTAATGCATATATTTGTGGTGGCTTGGCGTTAAGGGCCACCTTTCATGTCACCTTTTATGTGTGTTACGGGAACAGGTTGATATGAATAGAAAAATATGATGTTTATCAAAATAAATTAAAATACTTTTTGGAGCACTAGGATGCATTGTAAAGAAATTGCTCGGAAAAAAAAATTCCTCCATAGAGTGATGGTGTTGGCTATCTGCATAAGAGCATTCTTCTGTTTTTTAAAATATTTTCTGCATTTTGATGATTGTTTTATTTGTATTCTGTAGTTGGATCGATGCCTACAATGAACATCAAACATATCTGAAGAGGAAAGAAGATGATGGGTGAGTGTTTTAACCACTTGCTGACCAGGGTGTTTCCACCCCCTTCCTGTCCAGGCCATTTTTCAGTATTCAGCGCTGCAGTACTTTGACGTTTATTCCGTCATGCAACGCTGTACTGAAATTAATTTTATATTTTTATACTATTTTTTGGGGACAGATAGAGCTTTCTTTTGGTGTTATTTAATCACCAGTGGGCGGTATTATTTTTTACTATATAATTAAAAAAGAACTGAAAATTTTGGGAAAAAACCCTGTTCTCCCTACGTTATATTATAAAACATTTATTATTACCCACATTTTTGGTAAAATATAAAAGACGGGGTCACGTCGGGTAAATAGACCCAAAACATGTCAAGCTTTAAAATTGCGTGTGCCTGCGAAATCGGAAAAGAAAACACCATACCCTGCGAAATCGGAAAAAAAAACACCATACCCAAAATTTCCCATAGGTGAAGCTTTAAAAGCTGTTACCGCTCATCACTTTAGTGTTATCAGCGATTGATGGCCCGATAATTATTGCTCCCACTCTGACGTTGGCGGCGATATGTAACATTGCAATGGGTGCAATCGCTGTTCTCGCAGGTAGGCACACTCGACACATGTTTGCATGTGTATGTGGGACGGGGGGACTTTCGAAAAATAACCCAAAACATTTTAATTGCTTTTATATTACTTTTTTTTTAAAACATTTTTTTAAACCTTTTTTTTCCACTTAACTGTATTGCTATCACATAGGGGTGCTAACAAGTCCCCTATGTGATGGCCAATTTGCAGTGACAGGTCCCCTTTATGGAGACATCATGGGTCTTTAAGACCTCTAATGTCACCTAGGAACCCCCAGAGAAGCTGATGAAGCAGAGATCTGCATCACCAGCTTCTCTCCAGCTTCTGTACCGGAGAGTGACAGAGGAATGCAGGAAGTGATGTATTATACATCACCTCCTGCATTCCGACGAGAAGGAGATTAAACGCATATGATGTACTGATTTCTGGTCACAGAGCCAATGTGCTGGTCCCGGTCGGACACTGGGCACTGTGGAGCTCAGGAGCGCCAGCAGCTGCTGCAACTGGGGGGGTGGGGGGTACTCGGTTTTACCATAGATTAAACAGTCTTCTGAAAAGTAGTCACTGTCTGTCCACTTATTTAGCAGCATACCCTTGAAATTAATGTGTTGGGTCTACAGTAACTTTTCTTTTAATATAATGAAACTTGAATATTTACTGTTTCCAGAAGGAATACATGTTTATCACAGAAGTAACCAAGAACCCATATGTCCAAGAATTATACATTGTTGATGAATCTATATTTTCTTTAATACAGAAAGAAAGATGAAGAACATAAAAAAGTAAAGAAAGACTCAGTTTCCGAAGATTGTTATCCACCAGGAGTTACACCACCACCTGATAGTTTAAAATCAGGAGTTCCTGCAAAGGATGTTTCTTCAAAAAATGCATCGAAACCTGAAAACAGTTCATCTACAGGAACTGCCCCTGCATCAAGTTCAATAGCGAGTGCTCAGACAACTGTTCCGTGTCCACCCACCCCAGGACCTTATCCAAGCAGTCAGTACCGTGGCCCAAGACACCCTGTGCCTCCTCAACGACCATATTTTCACCCTCCAAGAACATATGGCCCACCTCAAAATGTACCAATGCAGCCATTCTTTAGAAATCAGTTTCCCATGCCAAGTGAGAACATGTTTCCTGACTTCCATCCATCCATGTGTCTTCCTTCATCCCAAGTTGCATTTGGTGGAGCTCCATTTATGGACAATTCAGGAATGCCCTTTACAATGCCCCCCATGTTTGGCTACGGACCATGGTTTCAGGTGAGCCACTGAGTTAAGTTGTTGTGCTGGTGTTTGTCCTTATATTGAATACCTATTTAAATAATCCTCTCTTTTTCATAGAACTTTGGGGCTCAAGCTTGGAACAGATTCTTTCCTCCTCAGTGATCCTGCATCATTCTTTTGGTCACAAACCGGGACCAGCTGCTGATAACAAGGCCAATAAGGAGCTTACTCTGCTACGTTAAGACGACAACCAATTGCAGTTCATATTTTTGTTCCCACCTAAATTTGAAGTAAATAACCAGGGAGATTAAACTTGTAGAACTGCTAACAACACTGCAAAGCAGGCGCATAAAGGTTCCTGATTGAAAACAAGAGTGCCCTGGGAGCGGCAAAGGGAAATCTGTTCTGCAAATCTCAAGTTCAGTTCCTGAGGTCTTTTGGCCCTGTATCTTTTGGCCCGTACTTGAACCTCTCTATTGGCTAGTAGTCATGACTGATGGCTTCACTGACAAATAGTAAGGCCTGGGAGGTGGAAAAGCTCGGTTCAGAACTGAAGTCTAGATTTGCATAATAAAGGGCTCAGAGTGTGGGGCCATTGGGGTACACCTGTGGATCGCTGATGATACAGAAATGTAATCTATCAAAATGTGTACTTTACCAGTTAGTATTACTGACCTGTGGAAACAACATTAATGATTGACACATTGCTGAAGTATGTGGTTTATATGATGGTTTCTTTTAAATGTTAAAGTTTTTTATATTGGTATGAATGCCTTTTTTCTTAAGAAGTCATGTACAGGCTTATTTCGCATATTACTATTTAATTTGTTTATTTCCTTCTAGTTGTAAATAAATGTTTACAATTAATGTTGTTTTATTCATTTTGGGACATGGCTTCAAATGAACCTTAAAATGCTTACCCTAGCATATTGTCTGTTATAATGTCCTGTGTAAAACTAGCCATAAGCCTCTGATAGAAGTTGGACATGCAGAACAATCTGTTTGCTGAATGACTGCTCCATAAATGTGCATGCTTTGACTGTACATAGTAATGCCTGTGGGGGACAGTACAGTTTATTGAGAAGGGGGGGAGTTAATTGCAATCACCTTGAAGAATGCAACCTGCCTGCTAATGGTATCTGGTAACGTTCCAGAGTACCCATATGCATGGGATTCTTTTCCAATGTGACCATAACCAGAGCGGGTAATTATCTGATAATTATTGGAACCTTAGGGTATAAGTTAATTACACGAGAGTCTGAGCACATCTCTGATGGAGCAATGCAAACATTCCCCTGCATATTTTCCAGCTGATTAACATAAAATACTGAGACTGTCTGCTGCCCTCAGTGTGACATGAACCATTATGTTACTCTGAGGGCAGCAGACATAATGGTTTATGATGGTTGCATGGCAGCACAAATTGGCTGTAGTTTCTTCCTTCTGGTGGCAGGATTGACAGTTTCTACAGTTTCTCTCAATGAAACGTAGCCTTTTTTACAGCTATGAGATGGCGGGCAGAACTTTGCATCAGTACAGCCTGATATGTTTTATTTTTGCTCTGAAGACCAGCTCCATTTTGGAAGTCGGGCTGTGCTAGTGAAGCTTTGTGGCAGCATTGGTGTGAATAAAGGGTCCTATTGCGGTATGTTTAATTCATGGGTCTTGAGTATTGTAACCGAGTTGGCAGACTCGCACCACTGCCTTAAGTTGGCCATACATCAATATTTTCTTTGCTCAACCTGTGTTCTGAACTAAGAAAATATTATAGATTCCTCCATCAATGTTTGAGTGTTAATCAAGGAATGTGCTGTCTTCATTGTATTCTGATAGCACCCGGAAGCCAGTGTCAGAATACCCCAAAAGAGGCGGCAGCTAATTGGCTGCCCGCTCTGTTTGCTCGAAGATTTTCTGACTGGCTCCTTCGATGAGCTGATCGAGGAATGCTGGCCGAAAGGGTGACTGTCTGCACCCATTGTGCGAATTTCAGACGGTTAATGAAGAACCAAATGAAATTTGCATAGTGTATGGCCAGTTTTAGTATAGGCTGTAAGTGAAGTGCTTCAATCAATTGCAATAAGATGCTACTTCAACTGATTGGTATGGTTTACTATTGAACACTTCATTTGGTGGACAGCATTTACTGCAAATCATCTTTGCTTCATACTAATTAAGGCTCAAGCCTTTCTCCCTAATTATAGCATAAACTGCATTCCTGAACTGCAAGTGGTATAGATCATGGACGTGCGGTCAGAGGAGGCAGAGCCTCACCTAGAATTATGGAGGAAAAAGCTGTTAGCTTCATGTCTTAAGATGACAGCTTTTTCTCCATTCAGATTGGCATCTAACAGGTTACACAGCAGGGAAATCCTCCCCGCTGTGTAACCTGTCATGGACGAGCGCCTCAGCGGTGAGGAGCAAGTGAGGGACAGGGAGGCTCCTCCCTTCCTCCTTTACACTAGCTTGGTGGCGGGTCTTTGGCCGGCAGGGGCGGGCACGAGCGGAACGGGATAGGACGTCTAAAGATGCCCACCCGCTCTCAAGAAGCTGCTGTCCAGCCGTTTAATTACAACGGCCGGACAGCTGGTAGTTAAACACTGATATTTTTCTAATAAGATGATGAATTGATTTACAGCGGACCTTTAAACTCAAATCAAATTCTACCAATGCATCCCTCTACGTATGATGATTAATAATAACATAGACATGTCAGGTGTAAAATGCTGTGATTATGAAATACTTACACTTGCAGAGCATTCACTTCCTCCTGTGAAAGTGCAAATCACTTCAGTTTGCCAACGCAATGCACATTGGGATTGACTTGTCATCAGCAGAGCATTGCTGGGAAATCTCATTTGTAGTCTCATGAGATCTCCAGGAAATGCATTTTCCTCCCCTGAGAGGATGTACATGGTCACATGTCCTAGCCACATGTGCCAGTAATCCAGGTAGGAGAGCTAGTAATCTGCTCTTAGTAAACATGGCCACTGTCAGAAGACTGGGGAAGAAAGGGAACATAAGGCATGCAAATAATACAAAGCCGGCAATTATCTAGAAGTCTGTGTTTGTAGATTGTCATTACTAAACATTTCTAAAGGTTTGTTTGTTGTTATTTTAAAGATATGGGTAAAGGTCCGCTTTAAAAGTATATCCAAGATATTACTGCTTAATGGCCTGTTCACACGACGTCCGTTTTGTGTGCTGACCGGCT